CCTTGTCAATTATATGTTTTTATATATATATATATATATATATATATATATATATATATATTAGAAAACATGTTAGAGATTAACTGCAAAGAATTGGAACACTCAACCTGATTGTGTAGAGATCTAATTTACGACCCAGGGAGTGGGCTGACTTTAAGGTTTATTGATCAACACCCTTCCTCAACAGAGTACTCTTTGTGTTAAAGATGAATCTATTTCATCCTTCTCTCCTACAAGATTATGAATCTTTTACTAAACTTCCTCAATACATTCTCCTTTACAACCATTCAACTTTTAAGCATCTTTTTAAATGCCCATGAATCAATATCATTGATACCCGTGTTTCCCAAGCCCCTTTAAATGGGACCAAATTATTTCAATGATTTTGCCATTGTGACTGCAAAGTTTAGGAATTCAGCCATCAAATACTGGACACTAAATTGAATGCACTGATCTTGAATCTCTCCATTTGTCATGTGAAAGCTATCATTTTCCACTGTTTGAGGCATCCAAAAAGCATGTCTAGTCATTTGGTGAACAGTTTCTGATTTCGGTCTTCTAAGTTTATGAACACCTTTTAAACAGCATTCAGACAAAACTTGGGAGCTATGACAAAGACCATAACACACATCAAATCAATGTTTAACTTATAAATACAGAGACACAGCAGCAAAATATTCCACCACCTAAGATGCAATTACTTGAGAACCACATAATGAAGAACTGTGGCTTGCTGTTCTATATGCATATTATTCAAATGAAGAAAATGCTTAACTAGTGACTCATTATCAAGAGTGTTTGTTTTATTAATTTCTTTTTGCAACTTCTGTACTGAGTACCACCGTAGAGAAAAATTATGTATATTTAAAATAATATATGGACAATCCAAGCTACAAGTAGCTTCTGTTTTAGCAGTTATAAAAGAGATCGTTTTATAAAAGCTACTCCATAAATAACAACCTCAGAAACCACCTATCTAACACTATCTTAAGAATGCATATAGGCCATGAAATGGAGATCATTATGGGTCTGGGGGAAAGAAGTATGGGGAAAATATTCCCAAACCAGTTTAAATTGTCCAAGCTATCATCACTCTAGCAATTCTGATCAAAGGCCAATGTTCATTTTTGTTAAAAGTCATTGTAATTTATTAAGTTATATAGGCGGCTCTGGGCATACTATTCCTTCTCCATTAAATGTAAATTTACAAGGTACTACAATCTTGAGAAATAAAATGTAGCATATACTACATTTACATACTGTGTCACAGCAGATCAAGACCTGCACGAACAATTCTAAACAGGCAGAAATCACTTCCTATCACAGAAAACTTGGGAGCTGCATTCCAGCTCAAGGTCCCCATCAAGAGAAACAATATTAAAGCCTGCATTTTCATATCTTGACCAATAAAAGACCAGTTTAGGCTTTTCAAATGTGCATATCTTCTCTATCATCCTGGCCTTGGTTGAACAGACATTTATCCCACTTACTGACATTCACATTTAGACATACTATCCCTTCTCCACACTAGCTCCCCATTTTTCTATTCACCTAAATGCATATGCTCAGGCAACTCTTCTTCAACTTACAGAGCTTACTCCTTACCTTACTTCTCACCTTATGTTCACATTTATCTCCTCATGCCTACTAGCTGCCATGCATCACTGGGAGGATGTATTTCTTGATGGACAAGAATGTTCTTTTGATTCAGACAGCTTGCACTGGATTTAAGCTTTGTGGCTTACTAGCTGTGTGACCTTGAAAAGTTGTTTAACCTTTCTGAACCTGTATATTTCCTTCTCTGAAAAACAGAATTAATTATAGTATCTAATTCATAGGACTGTTTTCAAGAAAAAATAAGATAGTTGCCTGTCCACAACCCAGAAGAGGGCCCTCACCAGAATCTAACCCTGTTGGCACCCTGATCTTGGACTTCCAGCTTCCTGAATTGTGAGTAAACAAATGTCTGTTGTTTAAACCAAAAAAGAAAAAGAAAAAAGAAGACAGTACCTGACACACTTAAGTGTTTCTACTGGCTATCATTATTATGTCTACTATCAAGAAATCTATTGTAAAGACCAACACACTTGCTTTCATTTCTAAACTATTGGGGCAGAGTTGAGTACAAGTTTGAAAACTTTTTTTTAATTAAGTTATGAGATACAGAGGGTCTTGGAACATGAACAAAATAAGTTAATATTGTCTTGCCAGTTATCACAGATCCAGATCCTCCTCACCCAATACAACATGTTAATATTGGTTATTTTTGTGACAACCAATGAAAAGAGTCAGAAAACAAATATTACCAATCCCAAACCAGGAAGCTTTTAATTGTTCTTCAGACAACTACACTTAGTCACTTACAGGAGTATATCATTTTGTGCAATTGTTAAGTTCCATCAAAATGTTTGCTCCCAAATTTCTAAATTGTATATTGAAAGCAACATGGCAGGAATTGGTAAAGAGCCACAAAAAATGATTACCTTGTGTAATGCTGAATATACTAGTTATCTTGATTTAAGCATCACATATTGCACACAGGTATTGCTATTCAATTCTGAACTTCGCAGATATACACAATCACTTATGTTTCAATAAAAAAAGGCATTAATCTTAAAGGAAAACTTCAGTACTGCAAACTGAAGAGTCCCTTTCTGAAGTAAATAATCACCACCCCATTTATGTTTTTTATCTACTTTGCTGAAATTCTACTTTTAAATGTGTATATGAATGCCCACTAAAGCCAGCTTTAAAAATGGTCCAGAAACACCAGTAAAAAACTTATTTGAAAGACAACAATACATTACTCCTAGTTGAGAATTTAGTTTATTTCAGTGAATTGCAGTAGCTGAAAGTGTATCTCTCATCTACAGTGCTGAAATTTGAATTAAAATGTATATACTAAAACTCAATGAAACACAGCATTGGGAAAAGGTTCAAAAACATTAGTATAGAACTTATGCATCATTCCTAGTTTATTTTTAAGTTTAATTCACTGAAATTAAGCAGCTGAAAGTGAATCTTTTATCCATCTTGCTGAAATTCTAATTTTAAATGCATATATGTAAACTTGTTGAAATGCAGGAGCTCTTCGTATTGTGCTGTTTTGTATTATTTTTAAATACTGTAAAATTATAATAAAGAAAGGATTTATTTTGGCAATCTGCAATAGAATTTTGATAACACGTTCATATGAACTGCAATTATTACAAAAACAGACAAATCTTGAATCACTCGTGAGAAAAACTTGAAACAAAACACAAATACCATAAACATCTTCCATTTGCATAGTCTTCAACAATGGAGTTCAATAAAGGAAACAATAGAAATATGTCTTAACAAAGAGAAAGAGGTGCAGTTCTCAAATAAAAATTCTAAAAGCAGTTTCTTCTTGAATCTGCTTTTGGGGGAAGGGTAGAAGAGGGAGAAACCAAAGAATAAATAGCAGTATTAAAACTGCATGGTCCCCAAAGCGAAACTAACTGCCTTATCTGTTCAGTTTAATCAGGGGTTTAACTAAAGGCATTAAGCTGGTCTTTGAAGCCCTATAATTTTGTTTGTTTTGGCAGCTGGCCAGTTTCTTATAACACCAAAGTCCGAACCCATGACGTTGGTGTTATAAGAAACCTTACAATTATTGTATTGAATTGAGACTCTGGGCAATTCAAATTTTACTTTGAAATATAAGAATTAATATGTATAGAAAATAATAAGGCAAGAGGCTCACAAAGTGAGGTCCAAAGGAAATAGAAAAAGTTTTCTTTTTTTAACCTAAACTTGCTCAAAAATTGTAAGATTTAAGTTTTCTGATATTTCAAACCTGTCTAAACAAACCTACAGATCGGTCACCAGAGAAGACAAAGTTCAAGGTTCAAGGTTCTTGTGATTGTGATTTCATATAATCTTCAGTTCTATTCCAAATTCTTTAGGGTGTAAATAAGCCAAAAACCAAAAACACACAACCACCACCACCTAGAATAGCTGCTGTTCTAAAGATTAAAAAGAGGAAGGGGACTCCTATATCCTACATCTCCAATACATACATCTGCTCTTTCCACTGCTGGCTTTTCTGTTGAGTTGAGGAAAACAGAGGCACTTTCACTGATCATGAAAATACACTCAGCTTTCACCCCAGTTTATCCTATTCTCTCCACAGCTGCTGAAAAATGTTTAATCCATATTAAGAGCAAGTGAATGGGGGGGGGGATGCCTCCTATCATTTGAACTCAGCCTGCCATTACACAAGAGGCCACTTGTTAGTTCCTTTTCCAGTTCTCAAAATATTTGAAGAACTTAGGAAATGTTAGAAGTAAAATTTTTTGAAAGAAAAGAAAAAGTCAAAAGAAGAGCAATATAAGGGAAATAAACAGGTCCCTTGCCATATTAAGTTTTAAAAGAAAAAAAAAACTTCGTATCATTATTCCTAACTTCCCTTCCCATTTTGTCTAGTTCTAACAGGCCTTTAAGCTTGAAGTTAAACACCCTCTCCTACACAGTTTCAAAATAACTCTATTACAGAGGTCTCACTCTCTCAAAATAATCACAATGGCTGAATAGACTTCCCACTCAATCCTCATCAGTTACAGCATGTGTACCCCCATCCTTCATAGAAGTGCGCTCCTTCCCCTTGCCTCAGTGCTTAGAACGTATTTGTCAAATGTCTCCCTCTTGAAATGCACCAGTTTGTGATTTTACTTTTCTCCACCTAATTCTAAAGACCCTATATCACCATCTCCCATCTACCAAAACTCGGTGGCTTTCTTTTTCCTTCAAAGGAGAAAATATGGCTCCGACGTCATAAGGCAAACACAGCTAACCTCCATGGAAAAATGAAATCGATGTAACAAAGGGAAGAAAGGGAAGAAAGGGGGTGGGGTGAGGGATGCAAGTGTCTTCCAAAGGAGAAGCTGCCGGACGAACTTCAGCAATTTAACCGTTCTAGGGTAGCAGAGAACTGGTGTGTAAGAAAACAACAAAGGTGGGCTCCCCACGCTCCTTACCGCCGTAGAGCCAGAGGAAGATGCAATATATACACGGATCACCATTCTGGGAACAGCGGTTTCGGTTGTTTGGGTCCTGAAAACGGCTGCGGAGCAGCTGCAGGAACGGCTGGAATCAAGCTAGGGGCCGAACAGAGGTTGGAAGAGGAGGGTGGGCGGAGGTGGAAGTGCAACTCGCCAGAGCCCCGCCTCCGCCCTTAGCTGCTTTCACTGGGCTGGGAGCGGGCAGTCCCACAGCCAAACCCCGGAAGGCACAGGCTCCTTTGCATCATTTCTAAATAGTTTAAAAAAAAAAAAAAATAGAGAATCTCGAATAGCACCGCGAGATCTGTTGAAACATTCATTTTTGACTATTCCCTCCCGGAGAAGAGGGGGAAGAGAAGGAAAAAGAAAAAAAGCACTCAATTGAATTAGATTAGAATGAAGAACCTTTTCCCACACAGACTAAAGTCCTGGGCATAACTTCCTGCTGAGAAATGTATGCAAATAAGAAGACAGCTTCCTGAAAGAGCAAGCTCTATGTTCAATCCAGACAGTAGTAAGAAAATCCTTGTCCTCAAAGCCTTGTGCATTTTAAGATTCCTATGACGTATGGATTTCTTTTAGCCGTTTGCGGGATTGGGCAATGAAGTACTGAGTGATGCCACTGAGGTTCGAAGAAAAGTTTCAGTTTCCCCTAAACCCAGAAACGTCAGGATTGGTTTTCTTTTTGCATTTTGCGTTTTGATAAAATAGAGATCCCTGCTTCTGTGGGAATTTGCAGGAGGTCTGATTGGCAAACTCAAGAATGGAGGAGGAAATAGCAAACAGAAAAACTGAAAATACTGTGTAAGAAAGCGAATAATTTTTGCTTTGTTTTGCTTTGCTTTTTAACTGGAGAAAGGGAGTTGGAGCATATGTTGATGGAGATGTTGAAATGGTGAGCAGAGAAAGCAGATGGTTATTTGTAGCTGTAGGGAAAAGAGCAAACAATTGATAATGTCCAGAGAGAGACTATATACTTCAAAGTGCAATTTCAAGTTTCCAGATATGTCAAATTAACAGAAAAAGAAACTTGCAAGATGAATGAGAGTGGAGAGAGGGAGTCAGTCACTGTTTTACTTTACTTTATTCCTTTGTGGTTTGGCCTACTTCCCCATTCTAGTTGTTTGCCACCTTTGCCTAGGCTCGATAATTGCAGTAGCTTCCTAACTGTTCCCCGCACACAGGTTCTTCCTTCTCCAATCTATCTTAAACATTAATTCTAAATAATCTCTTTACATGTGATCCATAAAACAACCTTGAGAAGTGGGTGTTATTACATCAATTTTACAAATGAAGAACTGAAACTCAGGAAAATGAGTAATTTTCTCATTGTTACATAGCTAGTAAATTCCAAGTCAGAACTCAAACTCAGGTCCAACTAACTCAAAAAGACCCCCTCTCTTAACCGTCATTGTAGCACACTGCCTGGGACAGGGAAAGTACTCAAAAAAGTTAGCTATTTTTCTTCCTAAAACATCACTTTCACATATCACTAAAGACAGTGTAGGTGGAAATACTTAAGGTAGCTTTCCATTGCCTATCAAATCTAAATTATGTTTCTAAGAAACTCGCACCATAATCCGGCCCCACACTATTCATATAATTTTACCCATTGTTCCCCCGAACTAACTTCCCTATACAGTCATTGTTTACCCCCCACTCCAGTCACCATACTTACTCCCACTTTCATGCCTTTGCTCTTCCTGTCCCTTCCTTCACCTTCTCCCCGCATTCTCATGCCGTTTTTCACCCACTCCACCTATCCAACACTTACCTTTTCCAGACACAGCTCAAAATCTTTATACAATGACCAGGCTGATGTAAGTCAGGGTGATCCAGCCACCCTCATCGTTGCCAATAGCTGGGCTACTGTTATTGTGCTTCCCAGCCGACACGACAGGAGAATCTTCCTTCTGGTTTTGATTTGGCAAAATGAACATAATTTGTCTTACACCATAGTCCAACCTCTCTCCCCCCAGTGGTCAACATGTACTCTATTTGGGCTTGTAGTCTCTTTTGAAATGATAAAAATATATATATAAAGAGAAAGAAAAGAAAACCTTCCTATTTATTCTACATACCCATAAGACAAAATTATCTCTAGAGAATTGAATGGCAGGATCAGCAATGAGTCTGGTGGGTCATATCTGTAACTCTGAGGAATGGGAAGACAATTTCTGATGTTTTTTTTTCTTTTAAATATAGACATATTAATCTAAATGAAAATCTTCCCTAATTGATTTATAAACAAAATCTGTTGTTACTTATTGACAGCACTTGGGATACATTGGGGGGGGGCAGGGGGACTTTACCAATAATTCTATAATAAAAATTAACATTATAGATAATATTAGACTTGCTGCTCTCCACATTCAGCCATCACTGGAATGGATATTCTAGAATGGTCATTTCTGCTTCATTTTAATCCATTGTAGAGCAGTCCCCAAAACCATTTGCTTATATAATTTGACTAGAAAGGTGTTAAGGCCTGATTAAAGTAAGATGGATCAAAGGTCTTTCAAACAGTATTTGTGACCTACTGCCATAAGAAATCTACTTATTCATTGATGAACCAAATGCTAATACTTTTCAAAAATTACAAAATAAATGCATGCTGTGTATATAGAAAACTTAGCAAACACTGAAAAGAAAAAAAATTACCTATACCGTCAGTATCCAAAGATAACCACTGTTAATATGTTGGGTGTAAGCCCTTCCAGGCCTAGTCAGAGATAGATAGATGAGGATGGGGGTAGGAGGTTGAGGGAAGTGGTAGGGAGAGATAGAGTGAATATTTTTTTTTAATTTGTTTATCATAAGATACATACTATTTTGTAAACAGCTTTTTTCCACTTGGAAAATATATATTAAAATTTTTCCTATGTCAGAAAATATGATTCTACGTGATATTTTAAATGGCTTTACATGATTCCATTTTAAAGATGTAACAAAAGTTTTAAATATTCTCTATTATTGAACATATTGCTTGTTTTTAATTATTCTATATTTTAGTTAATGTTTCAGCATATATCTATATATCAATAAATGTTTTCCCACATCTCTAATAATTTCTTAAGAATAAATTTGTCGTACACATTAATGTCTGCGTTCCACCAGACTGGAAGTGCTGTGAGTGCGTGAACCATGTGCAGAATAGGTGCTCAAGAAATATTTGCCACATAAACGAACAATTGGATTTACACTTTAAAAAGACCATTTATGACTCAAGATGGCGACGGGTCTGGAGCGGCCGTGCCAGGAGACAGCGCGACCCTGAGAAGTGTACGCTGTGATACCAGAGTACTATTTGCATTTCCAAGAGCAACAAAAAACGAATAAATCTTTCAACAACTAACCTACAATGACGAAAAAGCAACTACAGATTTGAGGTTTTTGGGCTGTCACAAAAGAAGATTCCTGAGAGCGCCCAAGCCGCGCTGCGGGATCGAGCGAGCAGCCCGAGACAACAAAGGCCAAGTAAGTCAGCAGAGACGACACAGAAATGGAGTGGAAGGCGCCGGACCGGCCCAACTCTGTGAGCTCTGTGAGTCACCCCCAGTCCAGCCCCACTTGTGGGGCAAAGCCCATCTGGCTTCCGCCTGCCTGGCTCCCACCCACCTGGCTCCAGCCTACCACACCAGGCTAGGCCACGGCAACAGCAGTACCTCCATTTTCTCCGGTGGGGGCGGAGACAGCCCCTTGGCTTGGCGCGGCTCCTCACTGAGACGGGCCACTTGCGTACCTCGACGCGGGGCCCCCCGGGGCCTGAGGACCGGCCTACAATCCCACTACCCCCGCGGATCTCTGATGGGGCTGGTGGCAGGGGGAGCCCCCAGCCAGAGTCAGGAGGGCTGGGAAGTGGAGCCCGCCCAGACTGTCACTCCACCACATCCTGGGCTTCGGCCCGAGGTAAACTCCCTGTTTCCGGGAGGCAGATACCATCTCTGTGGCCCTCAGTTCGGAAGAACCCCAAACTGATTTCTGGTTGGGAGAGGGTAGCCCGGGGCACTCTGGAGCTGGATTGAAGTTGCTGGAGAGCACTCCCGGAGGGCACCTGGGTCGACCCATGCTGGGGGGATTCAAAGAGGAACTGTGTGCTGTGGGTCCCTCCCCCAAGGAGCTCACACCCTGGAGGTGGAGATAACTTTACTACACAGATAGCTGCAGCACCGGGAGGAAAGTGAGAGATCCAGAGGAGGCCTTATCCAGGGTCACAAAAGCACTCAAAGTGTCCCCACAAGACAATTGAAACTCCTCCTGGGCGGGGTGGGGCAGGGCACAGCTTTGATGTCCCAGCTGATAGACGAGGATTGTAGAAGACACGCCTCAGCCCTGTACTGAGCGCACAGAGTGGGAAGGGGTCCGGCAAAAGGAGGCGGAGTCTCGGGAAAAAAAATTACACACCCTGCAGGTCCCCTTTGCAAGGCTCAACAGCCCCACCTAGTGCACACACAATGGGAAAACGCCCTGATAGTGAGGTGCAGAACACACATACTTTGCGGGCCCGGCAGGGAGGTATCAAGCAGCCTAGTAGATTTCAAACAGATCAGAGAGGTGGCTCCCAGCAGAGGTCCAAGACCCGAGTGAAACTCCCTGCCAAAATGAACAAACACCCAAAAAGAGATACC